CAATAAAAGAAACTGCTGTTCCAATTGTGTCCACTCGATGGCGCAATAGCAATTGTGTTAAGCAAGCAAACTGTTTATACCGGGGCAGAGCAAATAGGTCAAGCAAGTGCAGCCAGTCTGGATGAGCTACTTTGTTTTGCCCGCGATATTTATTACGGCTTCTACTTTTAACATTATGTGCTTTGGCACCCTCATTGCCCCAATATGTCTCTGTTAAAAAAGAGAAAAGTGGACGCAGAGTGCAGAGTGTTCCAAGAAAAATTGTCATCCTTCTATTTATTCACGGAATTGAATGGGAAAGCTGTATGTTTGGTGTGTTCACAGCATGTTGCAGTGCTGAAAGAATATAACCTTCGTCGCCACTATGTGAGTCTTCATGCCGACAAATATGACAACTTTCAAGGACAGCGGAGAAGAGAGAAGGTGAATGAACTGTTGGTGGGTCTGAAGAAACAGCAGTCTGTGTTTACTCACAGCCGAGACATCAGTGACGCTGCAGTGAAAGCTAGCTACCTCATTGCTAATGAAATCGCAGTGGCTTCAAAACCATTTAGTGAGGGTGAATTTGTAAAAACATGCATGATGAAGGCAGCAGAGATTGTGTGCCCTGAAAAGCACCAGGCTTTTGCAAATATCAGCCTGACAAGAAACACAGTTGCAGACAGGATTTCCGATCTTTCAGTGGATTTGGACAGCCAGTTGAAGCAAAAAGTAAAGTCATTTATTGCGTTTTCGGTTGCAATTGATGAAAGCACGGACATTACAGATGTTGCACAACTGGCCATTTTCATCCGCGGAGTTGATGACACATTGACCGTCACCGAGGAGTTCGTGGAGTTGGTGCCGATGACAGATACAACGACAGCAGCTGATATTTTCACTGCACTCGTCGGCGCGCTGGACAGGGTCGGAGTGGACTGGTCCCGCGCTGTCAGCCTGGCTACAGATGGTGCGCCCTCAATTATCGTGAAAAAAGCAGGCGTTGTGACAAAGTTCAGAGAGAAAGTGCAATCTAAAAATGGAGGACGTGATTTTTGGACTTTTCACTGTATTTTGCACCAGGAGGCTTTGTGTTGCAAGTCATTAAAGATGGATAACGTCATGAAGGTGGTCATCCAAACTGTTAATTTCATCCGATCCAGAAGCCTGAATCACCGTCAGTTTGACAGCCTTCTCAGAGAGAAAGACCACATCTATGGCCTGCCATACCACACTGAGGTAAGATGGTTAAGCCGAGGTGCTGTGCTGAGGCGTTTCTTTGATTTACGAGAAGAAATTGAACAGTTCATGAAAGAAAAGGGCAAACCAGTGTTAGAATTTAATTCCGCAGAATGGATGCAGGACCTTGCATTTATGGTGGATGTTACAGAGCACCTGAATAACTTGAACAAACAGCTGCAAGGGTGCAACAAAGTTGCCACGCAGTATTATGACAGCATACGTTCTTTCAAGTTGAAGCTGTCATTGTGGGAGACGCAACTCGCCGGTGGTGATGCAGCTCACTTCCCCTGTCTGAAAAATGTGTGCGCGACCCAACATGTGGCAGACATGAAGCGGTTCAAAGATAAAATAACGGGACTGTTAAGGGAGTTTGAGCAACGCTTTCAGATTTTTGGTGAACTGGAGAAAGACTTCAAAGTTTTTTGTTCGCCATTCACCGTGAATCCCTCTGATCTGCCCGTCAGCATCCAACTTGAAATAATAGACTTGCAGTGTGACTCGGATTTGAAGGCCAAATTTGCCGCAGCTGGCTTGGACACATTTTATCAGAATCTCTTGCCAGGTTACCCCAACTTGACAGCCCTCGCTGCAAAACTGTTGTGCATGTTTGGAACCACATATCTTTGTGAGCAAGTTCTCTGTAATGAGCATAAATAAAACAAAGCTGCGCTCAAGGCTCACGCACAAGCACTTGAATCACATCCTGAAGTTGGCTGCCACTCAGGATGTGACGCCTGATATTGATGCGCTGGTGAAAGCTAAAAGATGCCAGGTATCAGGAGTCAAATAAACTATGCAACCCCACTTAAAGTGCTGCATGATACACCCTGATATAGTTCTGTGATCTGTGATATACTTCTGTGAATCACTGAGGCATTGTGTGTTTGTGTGTTGTTTGTCCTCAGAATTTCAAATAACTTGAGGTGTTTTATGATTAATAGTGATGTTGTGCTTTTGGACACACTGTCCTCAGGCTCCAGATTTATGTTTATATGTTTTTATGTTGATGTGCTATTGTTTTTAATTGATTTTATTTTATTTTTATATTTAACCTATTCTTGACTCTGTGGTTCTTGCACTTGTTTGGGGAACAGGATTTCATTATTTGTATCTACATTTCTGCCTGAGAAATGACACCCTGATATAGTTCTGTGATCTGTGAAACAGTTATGTGAATCACTGAGGCATTGTGTGTTTGTGTGTTCTTTTTCTTTAGAATTTTCAAATAAACTTGAGGTGTTTTATGATTAATAGTGATGTTGTGCTTGTACTATTTTGGACACACTGTCCTCAGGCTCCAGCTTTATGTTTTATGTTGATAGTATTAAAACAAAGAAAACAATCTGAAGTTGTTGTTTTTAAGTTATATATACCATGATTTTACCGGTCCGGCCCACTTGGGAATAGATTTTCCTCCATGTGGCCCCTGAGCTAAAATGAGTTTGACACCCCTGCTATAGACTATGACAGAGATGTGCTGTCTGTTGTGGATCATGTATCCCAAATCGTCCTATAATTAACGTGGCCACCAGGATATGCCTAAACATCGCTAATGCCATTATATTTAAACCAGGATTGGCCGAAGGACTGAAATTAATAGAATTAGTGTGAGTGGAGTTTAAAAAAAATCTGTAGTAGATTCTAATTAATTTATAGCATATGTTCTCTACGGTCCTTCTCCATCTAATAGCCTAATGGGACGAATTTTAGCTTGCAAATGACCTAGCAAATTTGAGGTTAAATTATTACATTAATTAGTTTTTTGTTCTTCCACCACCTGCCGAATAAAAACCTCATATGGCCCTACTTCTGAAAAAGTTAATCGGGACAGATATGCTGAAGTGGACTCGGCCCAAGTACCATTAGCCGGAACCCAGAGTAATATGATTCTGCCGGAGTCGATGCCGAGTCTCAAACGGAATAGGCCCTAACCCACCGTGTTGACTGTGGTCAGTCACACAGCTTTTACTTTGAAGACAGCTAGCACACGTATCCTGTTGCAGCCCATCCTCTCTACGACAACACCGTCTTTGTTCATTAATTCAATCTTGTGGACGACATATTAAAAATTAATTAATGCAGTCGAAATGATTATCCGTCTTAGTTGTTTAAATTCGGATATTGATTGAACGAACCATTCACGGATCGATCGAGAACCCTGCACTAGGGCATCTCTGATAATTTTTGTGGCCATGATATTTCGCGTGTCCTGGGTTGGCCCCTTTAATTACTCTGACTGTCCCACCGCGTGTCCAGTAGTATTCTATCCGAAAGATGAACGCGTCAGAGCAGCGCTAACATATTTTGGTGAAGGTTGTGAGTTCTTCTTGTAAGTATTTAGTAAATGTGAACACTAAATTGAATACTTTCCATCTAACCTGTACAGAAAATATATATTTCAAGGTGTTGAACTGTTATGATTCTGTCCATTGTATAGTAAAATTGTAATTGTCGACATTGCCCTCTAGTTTGTTGCGAAGTTTGCTAGGTAGCTCCTTTAGCCAGGTAGGCATAGGCTACTTTGTAGTTATAATAATTGCCTGTCCATCGATCCGAAAACGGTTAGGCTATCATTAGCATCTCTAACTACTTCACAAAGTGGTAGACATATAGGCCCTTCGCGTACCGCACACAGCAGGGCTCGACATTCGGCACATTGGGCCAGTACCAACTGGAAGCTATTGGGTCTGGTCAAGATCTGACAGGAACGCGAATGATGCGTTCATAATTTCAGTAGCATGTGATTTTATCTTTCATTTGCGGGCTGAGCAAGTAGCTTATACAGTGTTCATACAGGCATTGGAAAGTCAAATTCAAGGATTTTCCAAGCACTTAATTGTAATAATTTAAGGACCTACGTTTTATATTTGTTGTAATAGTCTATAGGAAAAAATCTCCCAAATGTATGCAAAAAAGTATGCATTACCACTTTAAGAATAATGCGTTTGACATTCACATTATTTTTTACATTCTCATATGTCCACATTGCCTAACTAAATAGACAGCATGGTCCTGACAGAAACACACTAATGAAGTCTGTCCATGTATAGTCAGTCTCGCCATTTGATATATTGAAGAGTTGTTGAGGGGTTACTGTATCATGTTTTAAAACGAGAAAGCAACCAAAAACCAGATTCCCTTTGTATGGAAAACATTTTATGTGTTGCGCAGTAGAACTTCTAAATCGGCTACCATAACTTCAATGACTTTTCAAGGACCAAAGAGCCTAGAGGAAATGTCTGATTTTCAAGGTAGGCTGTGATGACTGAATTGCGCATCGCATATATTCAGCCAAGACTTGGAACTTTTTAAATAACTTGTTTGTATACCCATTCTTGCCTTAGCATTTACTGGTAGAGCTATCATAACTTGGAACATCTTTCCTACCCCTAATGCTGTTGGTCTTTGCTCCACGAAACAACCAGCTGTTTGAGAGCTGTGTGCTCTCTGCCCGACATATTGTCTATAGCAGGGATGGGCAAATTTGAGTGTGGGGATCACAGAAAATCTGAACTCATCATGAGGGGCCGCAGTTGCTCGTTGGTCTGCATAGCCACATCCATACCCCCCCCCCCAATTCTAAACATTTTGCCATGGGGTGTTTCCTTGGGATATGTCTTTTCAACAGTAAAAGTTCAAACATTGCTGGAGGATGTCTCGAACTACAACCATATGAATAATTTTCTTGACATAAGGACATTTCTGAAAGCAGCATTGTTTTACTTCAACCTAAATAAATCATGTTCCATTTCTCTTCTGAACTTTCCAGGTATTCCACAATGTCTCTGGCTAAGCCTGCAATGCGAGGACTCCTCGGGAAGCGTCTGAGGTTCCACTTGCCCATCGCCTTCGCCCTGTCATTGGTGGCTGCAGCAGCTTTCAAGGTCAGCTGATATTAATATTTTGCAGAATTATTTCATGTTTTCTCTTAAGGCGGCCCGGGATATCAGCAAGGCGGCCGCCTTAAGGTAGCCTGGCGGGTAGGAGCGTTGGGCCAGTAGCCGAAAAGTTGCTTGATCAAATCCCAGAGCTGACAAGGTCAAAATATGTAATTCTGCCCCTGAGCAAGACAGTTAACCCACTGTTCCCCGGGCACCGAAGACGTGGATGTCGATTAAGGCAGCCCTCCCCACCTCTCTGATTCAGAGGGGTTGGGTTAAATGTGGAAGACACATTTCAGTTGAATGCATTCAGTTGTACAACTGACTAGGTATCCCCCTTTCCCTTAAAATGTTCTAGGTAGGAAAAACCCTGGGGAGAGAAGTGTAAAATGGAAGGGTTAAAGTCCATCATGGAATTGATGTTATTTGACATTTTAGTCATTTAGCAGACGCTCTTATCCAGAGCGACTTACAGTTTGTGAATGCATACAATTTCATACTGGCCCCCCGTGGGAATCGAACCCACAACCCTGGCGTTGCAAGCGCCATGCTCTACCAACTGAGCTATCACATTGAATGGATCTCTTCAGGAATGGGCATGATGTTGTTTTTGTGTTCATGATAAATGAGTAAATACTTCATTCTGATGAGGTCATTTTGTCTTTCTCTTCTCAGTACGGTGTAACAGAGCCCAGGAAACAGGCCTATGCTGATTTCTACAAACAATATGTTGCCACAAAGGAGTTCAACAACATGAGGGAAGCTGGCATTTTTGAAAGTGTCAGGCCAACTGGCGAATAAACCCCTGTGAGTATTTTGCAACCCATTAGGCATCATTTCTTCTTCTATCTTCTATCTATTCTATCTATTAGGCCAGTGTTCTTCACTTCTTGTCCCAGAGGTCTTGAGTGTGTGCAGGCTTTTGTCCTAGCCAGCGGCACACCGGGGTTGTGTTCTGTAGGCACAAGTCAGTAGAATTTTTTTCAAAATGTGTAACTCACTTTTCCTACAAGTGTGCAAATATTTCAAAATGTTGCCCACTGAACACGCCCTTGAATCATCAAAACAAGATCTTTAGATGATTAGTTGAGTTAAGTTTGTTGGTGCTGGAGGACAAAAGCGGTCCTCTTGGACCTGGAGTGGATGGCTTTGTAATCAATTATTGTCCAATTTTCGTTGTTATAACTGCAATACTGTGCAATATCTTATGCTATGTCCCTTTTTGTATTACAGGTTGCATCCCATTGTGCATTCCTAGTCTGACGTTCCTGCACTGTGATTTACTGATCGAAATATTGCTGTTATGTTCTCATAAATAAACTATTCTCTATGGTGCCTCTGCCTCATCGTTTTGATTTATCACAAAAAGCGGTGTTGTGATAGAGAAACAGTTTTGCTCAAGAAAGCAACATGGCTTGTTGTGGAAGGGTTCGTCGTCAGTTGTTTATGCATAAATTAAATTGCTACTACATCACCTTCATTCTGGAACTGGGTGGAAGTATGGTACTGTAAAGATGGTGGAATCATGTTCTATCACACAAGTGAAATACATTTATTTACATGAATAACATCCTTGCTATAGGTACCATAATAGGCTATAGGTAGGTATCCACCTATTTCTGACTACTGTGAGGATCCAGCCTTGCAGCGCCCTCTGTGTGTTGGGCCCGGGAGAGGCTATATAGATTGTTCTTTCTTGTATTTATTATGGATCCCCATTACTATTCCTGGGGTCCAGAAAAATGAAGGTAGTTTATACAATAAAAAATAAAAATTACAATACATTCACAACACACTGTGCCCTCAGGCCCCTACTCTACCACTACCACATATCTACACTACAAAATCCACGTGTACGTGTGTGTATGAATGTGTCTGTGCCTATGTTTGTGTTGCTTCACAGTCCCTGCTGTTCCATAAGGTGTGTTTTTATCTGTTATTTTAAATCTAATTTTACTGCTTGCATCAGTTACTTGATGTGAAATAGAGTTCCATGTAGTCATGGCTCTATGTAGTACTGTGTGCATCCCATAGTCTGTTCTGGACTTGGGGACTGTGAAGAGACCTCTGGTGGCATTTCTTGTGGGGTATGCATGGGTGTCCGAGCTGTGTGCCAGTAGTTCAAACAGACAGCTCGGTGCATTCAACATGTCCATACCTCTCATAAATACAAGTAGTGATGAAGTCAATCTCTCCTCCACTTTGAGCCATGAGAGATTGACATGCATATTATTAATATTAGCTCTCTGTGTACATCCAAGGGCTAGCCGTGCTGCCCTGTTCTGAGCCAATTGCAATTTTCTTTTTTGTGGCACCTGACCACACGACTGAACAATAGTCCAGTTGTGACAAAACTAGGGCCTGCAGGACCTGCCTTATTGATAGTGCTTTTAAGAAGGTAGAGAAGCGCTTTAATATGGACATACTTCTCCCCATCTTAGCTACTGTTGTATCAATATGTTTTGACCATGACTATTTACAATCCAGGGTTACTCCAAGCAGTTTAGTCACCTCAACTTGCTAAATTTCCACATTATTTATTACAAGATTTAGTTGAGGTTTAGTGAATGATTTGTCCCAAATACAATGCTTTTAGTTTTATAAATATTTAGGACGAACTTAATCCTTACCACCCACTCTGAAACTAACTGCCACTCTTTGTTAAGTGTTGCAGTCATTTCAGTTGCTGTAGTAGCTGACATTTATAGTGTTGAGTCATCCGCATACATAGGCATGTCATTAGTAAAGATTGAAAAAAGTAATAGGCCTAGACAACTGCCCTGGGGAATTCCTGATTCTACCTGGATTATTTTAGAGAGGCGTCCATTAAAGAACACCCTCTGTGTTCTGTTAGACAGGTAACTCTTTATCCACAATATAGCAGGGGGTGTAAAGCCATAACACAAGTTTTTCCAGCAGCAGACTATGATCGATAATGTCAAAAGCCTAACAAGTCTAACAAAACAGCCCCCACAGTCATATTGACACGACTTTAGATGTTTCTTGTCTTGGCTACAGTATGTGTTTGTATAGTATGTAGCAAGAGGAAATAACATGAAGATAATATGGGGTATGTCATTGGGCAACAGTACAGTAGTTTGTAAAGATATTACCTATTTTCTCAGGCTAATTTCAAATACATAGATCTTCATCAATAAACTTGATACTAAGAACCAAGCCCATCTTGATCACCAATATATGCAATGCATTCTACTTCGTCCAGCAGTAGAGGTGTGTGGGTAAAATCACTGGGGAAGCCAATCTAGGAAGAAATAGGCATATTACAACCTATGTGTTGTGATAATTGCGTTGTTTGCTCTATAACCTGTAAGTTCATATGCCTTGACACTGTGATATATAGGCCTAAGGCCAAGACAAGAAGACAGTGGCAGAATAAATTCAACCACATTTGTTTCATTACAAAACCGGAGAGCAACATCTGTCTGATGAAGTCCACAAAACATTGCATGTAACAAACAGTTACATGACCTAAAGCATGGTCAAGCGAAGTAATGTTTTGACATTTTCGGACTACTAAACAACTATTGATTTAGAAACACAGAGAGTTACCGCAAGTCGCAAAGAAAACAGGAGCTGCCTACACTATTCCAGCACCATTTCAACATTATCTAATCAACTATGCTTAGTATAATACAGTGACAACTAAAAGATACCAAAAACGATTTAGTCCAATCAACCTAAGCTAAATGTGATGTGGTTGTCCATAGTACTGATTTGTGTGTGTGTATTTGTATTTATTATGGATCCCCATTATCTGCTGCCTGGGGTCCAGCAACATAAGACAGTTACATACAGTTTAAAATACTACATGGCATTACATTTCATAACACCTTACCCAACACATTCAGTGTGTTCCCTCAGTCCACTACTCCACCACCACATATTTACAATATCCGATTCTACTGCTTGAATCAGTTACCTGATGTGGAATAGAGTTCCATGTAGCCATTGCTCTATGCAGTACTGTGCACCTCCGTTAGTCTGTTCTTGACTTGGGGATTGTGACTTGGGGATTTGGTGGCAAGTCTTGTGAGGTATGCATGGGTGTCCGAGCTGTGTGCTAGTAGTTTTAAACAGACACCTCGGTGCATTCAACACTTAAAAAAATTAAGTAATGATGAAGTCAATCTCTCTGCTTTGAGCCATGAGAGATTTACATGCATATTATTAATGTTAACTCTCCGTGTACATTTAGGGGCCAGCTGTGCTGCCCTGTTCTGAGCATATTGTAATTTTCCGAGGTCCCTCTTTGTGGCACCTGACCACATGACTGAGCAGTAGTCAAGGTGCAACAAAACTAGAGCCTGTAGGACCTGCCTTGTTGATAGTGTTGTTAAAAAGGCAGAGCAGTGCTTTATTATGGACAGACTTCTCCCCATCTTAGCTACTGTTGTAGCAACATGTTTTGACCATGACAGTTTACAATCCAGGGTTACTCCAAGCAGTTTAGTTACTTATTACAATATTTAGTTGAGGTTTATGGTTTAGTGAATGATTTTTCCCAAATACAATGCTTTTAGTTTTGAAATATTTAGGGCTAACATATTCCTGCCACCCCATTCTGAAACTAACTGCGGCTCTTTGTTAAGTGTTGAAGTGATTTCACTCGCTGTAGTAGCTGACGTGTATAGTGTTGAGTCATCCGCATACAGTGCATTTGGAAAGTATTCAGACCCCTTGACTTTTTCCACATTGTTATGTTACAGCCTTATTCTAAAATTGATTCGTTTTTTTTTTTTTTTTTACATCAATCTACACACAATACCCCATGAAGACAAAGCAAAAACAGGTTTTTAGAAATGTTTGCTAATTTATACAACAACAAAAAAATACATTAAATAAGACATTTACATAAGTATTCAGACCCTTTACTCAGTACTTTGTTGAAGCACCTTTGGCAGCGATTACAGCCTCACTACAAGCTTGGCAGACCGGTATTTGAGGAGTTTCTCCCATTCTGCTCTGCAGATCCTCTCAAGCTCTGTCAGGTTGGATGGGGAGCGTCGCTGCACAGCTATTTTCAGGTCTCTCCAGAGATGTTCGATCGGGTTAAAGTCCGGGCTCTGGCTGGGACACTCAAGGACATTCAGAGACTTGTCCCGAAGCCACTCCTGCGTTGTCTTGGCTGTGTGCTTAGGGTCGTTGTCCTGTTGGAAGGTGAACCTTCGCCCCAGTCTGAGGTCCTGAGCGCTCTGGAGCAGGTTTTCATTAAGGATCTCTCTGTACTTTGCTCCGTTCATCTTTGCCTCGATCCTGACTAGTCTCCCAGTCTCTGCTGCTAAAAAATATCCCCACAGCATGATGCTGCCACCACCATGCTTCACCGTAGGGATGGTGCCAGGTTTCCTCCAGACGTGAAGCTTGGCATTCAGGCCAAAGAGTTCAATCTTGGTTTCATCAGACCAGAGAATCTTGTTTCTCATGGTCTGAGAGTCTTTAGGTGCCTTTTGGTAAACTCCAAGTGGGCTGTCATGTGCCTTTTACTGAGGAGTGCCTTCCATCTGGCCACTCTACCATAAAGGCCTGATTAGTGGAGTGCTGCAGAGATGGTTGTCCTTCTGGAAGGTTCGCCCATCTCCACAGAGGAACTCTGGAGCTCTGTCGGAGTGACCATCGGGTTCTTGGTCACCTCCCTGACTAAGGCCCTTCTCCCCCGATTGCTCAGTTTGGCCGGGCGGCCAGCTTTAGCAAGAGTCTTGGTGGTTCCAAACTTCTTCCATTTAAGAATGATGGAGGCCACTGTGTTCCTGGGGACCTTCAATGCTGCAGACATTTTTTGG